AAAAAGAAATCAATTAATAGGGTTCCCAAAATTTTATTTTCATTTAAGTTTTGTTGACTGTTTAACATACCCATGTCATGTCTCCTCATGTAGCTCTGTAAAGCACGTTGTTCATCTTCGGTTTCAATAGCAGCCAAGTATGCGCCATTTTGCTGACATTTCACCTCTGCATCCGTCCAGTTCAATGGTCCCGGGTAGAAACAATAGATGGAACCATTGTAGCTGAAGGGTGAATTTACGCCAACGCCACATGCTAGAACCAAAAAAAACACGTATTGTTAAAAATAATGACATCAACAATACTTACTCCATCTCGAGCAGACCATTCAGACATTTAGTAGAAATCATCGTGAACACTCACATCTTCTTACGCCCGTTTTTTTAACGTCTTTATCTTCAAAAATTTGGTGATTTTGTATATAAATATTTTTCCTTACTTCTTTATAAAATGTGCTATTAAGAATAAAATGTTACCCATCATCGACGTATTATGAATTAAAAATAAGATTAAAATAACTTTTTACATGTACGTTATATTCAATCAATAAACAAGACACGGGATGAACAACAGCATACCTAAAACAAAGCAGTGTGGACTTGCTTCCAAAGTGACCGCCAGAATGCAAGATGGCCACCAAAAAGTTAATAATTAGCTCTAGAAATTCTTACCACGTAACATGTGTAAAAATTTGAAAATTCGAAATGGCCACCTTAACACTTATACTCAGAATGTCAAAAAATAATCGGATATAAACTTTCATACGAAGAAACATCCCTGAAAGTTTAAGATGAATCCCTGAAATGGTTTGGCTGGAAAACTGTAGACAAACTTCAAAAGACAAGATTTAGGATGGAAAATCCAAAATGGCCACCTTAAAGTGTTTCACATATTCGATCAAAACTTGCCATGCAAACATGTTAGTCTACTTTACTGGCCCCCCTTGCTGTAACAAGGAACCCAAAACACATTAAAACGTAAACATAAACCAATTAGTCACTTTACTATGAAAGTGAGGGGTGTTAGCAAATGTGTATTAGCAGAATACGCTGTGTGCATGGACTAACACAATATCAGTGGTCATTTACTGTGTCAACTTAGTAACCCTTGCATATCGTGCTCACTCAAGTATTGAATAATTTTTTTATGATCTAAATGTTTGTGGTTTATAAAAAAAATGTGATCTATTTTAGTTAGAAATACATTAATTAATATATTCATTCAAACAGCACTAGAATGCGGGAAGAAAGAGCAATGGTGACAAAATGCAGACAGAATTTTCCGTAAGGGTTTCAAACATTTCTGGACACAATCATACATTTACTTCATGTGTACTGTTATTTATAGATATTATTTCACGTATTAAAATCATATTTTCCAGCAATGACTTCAAATTCGGAACCACACCCATATCACATTTTCTTCAATAACTCCAAACATGTGTAAACATCGACCACGTGCACCTCATACACCCCTGAATGGATTTGAGTTGGATTCGCAATTTATACGTGAGCCGATACACATCGCAAACACTGATTGGATAAAGATTGCGAGAATCTTTAACATTTACCAACATCCCTGAAAATTTCAGATGAATCCCTTAAACGGTTTGGCTGGAAACCTATAGAAAGGCTAAAAAGTGAGACGCAACCCGCCCGCCACAAACCCGCCCACTCGCTAGTCAAGCTGACAACAATATCGTACCTTTTTGTAGGTACGATAAAAATAGAATGCACGCACACGCCAGTTTGTGAATTTCCTTTGTCTATAACAAGGGAACTTTACAATGTAATGATTATATGCATTAAGATATTTTAATAATTCAAATTATTAACTCACGTTCCCTGACGTAATAATGGTCAGTATCATCCATGTGGGCTTTTTTGCCTCTCGGCCATTCAAGCAAATCACATTTGAACTTCCTTTCGGTCATTTGCTTTACGTTTGTATGTCTGCATCGCTTTGTATTTAGACAGGCAATGACACATTCTGAGTGCGAACCTATTTCGAGAGTTCCCAGGTGACCTAAATTGTTATCGGAGATAAAGACGGTGTTCTTTTCTCTCATGAAGGTCTTCCCACTGAAAGTCGTACACTCCGTTAAAACAAAAGGTATTAATGCAAATATGATTTTGTATGCTTTTATCAAGTCACCAAGTTTCGCCATGACACGCTTTTGAAGATTTGTTCATCATCAGATCGAACTCCAATGCAAATAATCACAATGAAAAAAAAGTAACTCACTTAATAACTTGCCATTTTATGCCACCTATTTTTTCCAATCAACATAATGCACATCAGTCAATACGATTTGATATCAATTTGCAGGATATGATCACGTGGGCAATCACGAGCACCTGTTTGATTGCAATCGCTCATGCGTAAATCAAGATTTGAAATCGTGGAAATGTCAGTTAAGCATCAACAATTCTAAAATACTGTTACTACCTGAGGCCCAGGTATATTAACAGTCATAATAAAAAAATAGTTTTATTCTTATACATGAAAGTAATCCATACTATAATATACATGTGTACACCACGCATTGCCAATTTAGTACACTAGCTGACTTTTTAAACAATTTTAACGTATTCCTTGGCCTCAGGTTATTACAGTCTCCAAACTTAAGGATGCTATTCAGAATACAACAGCGAACATTCTTGGATCAATTTTAATGGCAAACGATTCCAGTTTATACGATTGGTCATCGAATGTGACGGTGAAATTGTTCAGATTTGCGAAATTTCCTCATCTGTGAGGTGTTGAATATGCAGGTTAGTTCAAACAAAGAGGATTGGCTCCCAGGGTTCAAACAAACAAACAGACAAAAACAAACAAACAAGCATGATTCTGTACAATACCAAGTCTTTCAGTGTTGTCTCCACAGGGCATGTGCCAAATTAAGCGTGGCAGTAGACGTTTCCAACAAACCGTGCCATCTTTTGATCCACTCGAGAAACTATAACTTATTGGCTAGATTGATGATGTCATTGGTTGTAGGTAGCAAACTGCAAACTTTTTGCTTATTTTATAAAAGTACAAGCTATGACATCATCAATCTAGCCAATATATTGTGGTTTCTCCGATGGATGAAAAGATGGCATGATTTATCGGAAACGTCTATTGTTTACAGGGTAAGGTGAAACACAAGGGTGTGGACGTTGAGCAAGTCGATGTTTTCAACATTTCAGAAACACCTTGTTTAGTTTCTAGATTTTTTTATTAAAATTAATGTAACATATTTACAGGTTGTAGTGCTATTAACAATGATTTGCGATTTTTTATAAAAATTGTACATGTAATTGTGTAAAGTATAATATTGTACATAATAGAGAAAATAAACTGATTTAATGGAAATGATTAAAGGTATCTTCTACAATAACAGGTGCAAGCAATAAAAATAAGTAAATGTCTAAAACAACATCCTAGACAGTGAACTTGACAGAATTTCATAGTTAAACCTGCAAAAGCTAAGAATGTAGTATAGTATTACTGTATACCCGGAACCTTATAACGCGGGGGTAACAGTAAGGTACAACACAAAGAATTTGAATTTGCGTAAATTCAGGTAAATTGACCTGGGCGTTATACTAGTTTGTGTGTAGGTTAAACTATAAAAACACTGTCAAGTTCAATTATGTTAGAAAGATTTTAATGCAGAAAAGTCACACTTTATCGCAAAGTACTTTGGCCCAAAAATTACTTTGCGATGAGTGTGTATTTTTGCTTTAAAATCTTCCTAACATCATTCTGTTTCGTATTAGGTACAGCACGCGTGGTACAAGGTGCCAAAAAATGACACCCACCTTATATTGCATTACTTGTCTATTTATTAACATTTAGACTTGTCCTTAGGCACATTCAAAGTAGACATAATGCGGAAGCAGCTCCTGCAATTACAGATGTGTACACTGGTGATCCGCTCGATTACGATGGTTCGTTTCGGTAACAAAATGTCGGAACGTCGAAGGTACGATTTTTCTTTTTTCCTTATTTCACACGTTGTAGGTAGAATTCCCACGACATTTCTATCACATACGTGTATCAGTATCATATGTTTAAGAAAATGTACATATTTGCGAACAAACAGCTCAGAAGATAACAGCACCGTCGATTTAATTCCTCAATTAAGTTACATAAACGGTATGGGATAAAAGTGCAGATCTTAACTGTTTTTCAAAACACCTGTAACGACCCTGTAGTGTACCGAGCCAGATACTAGACTCGAAAGAGAATGTGCTAAATTCAATGCCCCGTACGGGAATCGAACTCAGGACCTCCCGCTCTCGAGTCAGTCGCTCTCCTGAGCCATAAAGGCTAGCCACTACAGCTGAGACTGTAGTAGCGACTTGATGTCGAAGGTCATTACACCATCCCCCCTAGAAGACGACGTCCCGTCGTAACTGATTCACAAGGGCAATCCCACTTCTGACACCAATGTAACGACCATTGGGCACGCTCGTCGGGAAGCTGTAGTGTACCTAGCCAGATACTAGACTCGAAAGAGAATTTGCCAAATTCAATGCCCCGTACGAGAATCGAACTCAGGACCTCCCGCTCTCGAGACAGACGCTCTACTGAGCCATAAAGGCTAGCCACTACAGCTGAGACTGTAGTAGCGACTTGCTATCGAAGGTCATTACACACCTTTGATGTAACTTAAGTGAGGAATTAGATCGGCGATGCTGTTGTTTTCTAAGCTACTAGTATTTCTTCGCAAATATCCTCAAAAAGTTATATTTTTGTAATTTCTCCTCAATTATCTTTATGCTCACAAATGAAACCATTTCTTACAGAGCAATACCAATCGGCCCAGTTATAGTCATTGTGCCAGTAATTGCTCAACATCACACAGGATTCACCATCACGCTCGCCGGGATTGACTCCTGCCCAAGAGAAGTATGTCACTGTATCGGATAATCCGCTCCAATGATAGATGCCGGTGTCCTCATCTCGCCTGAGGCCAATGTTCATGTCACCTGAAACACAATATGGAAGTTTGGCTACAGAAAAAGTATTTCAAAGTGTTAATTATGCACCATTCAAAGGTGCGTGATCCTCCCATGTAGAGATGGTCGGGACTTTAAACATAGTACTTTTCCAGTGAGAGGGAAGTTTGAAATCGATAGCGGCCTAGATCATGTTTACTCAAATGTCCAGCTTTTTCCGAATTAAGGAAAGCCATGGTTGATAAACAAATTCAACGACCAATCAGATAACAGGAAGACTTTTCCGTGTATATTCAAACTTCAGATTGAATTAATTTCTTCGAAAATAATTAGATCGGCCAGCACATTTGCAAAATTAACACTGAAAGAGGGCGTTCAGAGGGGTCTTGATTGTGCTATCCTATGGCATAGAGCCTCTTTAAAAGCCATATGGAAATATAATAGCACGTTAAGATGGTGCATAAGCGGAGACAACTGCTTTTATCAAATCATTACTTTTAACAATTTTGTGATGCTTTTTACTAGTTAACTTCCTTTATAGGCAAATCTGTCAAAACGTCAAAATCAATGAGTACTTTCAAATCTCCTGCCGGTAATACTGGGAATTACTTCGTAAAATTCCGGTGCTACGAAGTGAAAGAGAATGGGCTGTGATAAGGGGGGATTGATCCCGGAGTTCAAAGATGACGTACGCTTATAATGTAACCCTGTATTGAGATGACATACACCTCTGATTGGTCCAAAATTGATAAACAAAAATGGCGGATTCAAAAATTTCTAATAACACTTCGAATAATAGTATGCTACATGTAATTTCTGGCATATTAACCAATATCATAGTTTCAATTGTTATTTCACATCAAGATATATAAAGAAAGATGTAAAGAATATGCTTCAATCGATTAAACCAACACAACGACGCGTTATATTCGAAAACTAACTGGTGAGAATTTGGGCAAACAAATGTGGTACGCAAGAAACGTAATATGTCTGTCATCGCTCTTCGCTAATGCCCTGGGGCTTTCCCCCTCTTGGGTGTGATATGCCCAATCAGTATTTTATCAAAAGTGTACAATATGGAGTCACATTGCATATACACTCTACCTTTCATTTGGTGTTTATGAGCAACCCATTTGGCTTATTAGTAATAATTATGTTATTTGTTTTTATGTGTCTGTTCCTTATGAATGGTTTATCGGATTTTAAGTAGATGTTAATAAGGTACTTTCAAAAATATACTTAACAATACAATAAGACAAACAGAGTATATTATGCTTTTCTAGGGGTTAGGTAGAGTGAACAAAGCAACGCACTTACAAAACTTCGTGCGTGTGACTACATAAACTTGTTTACTGAAAATTAATACGTAATTAGGTTATTTTGAATTTGATTGCAATCGATAAGCAATCAGACGTTTTTTGTTCATCGTTTTTTCGTTTGCCAGTTTTTACCTTTTTTTAACATGGGCGAAATTATATACCGACTCGTTCATTCGTGTGTAATTAATAATTATCTGTTCATAATGGCAGCTTTTAGACTTAAATTACCAATTGTTCAGAATTTCAATGGATGTATACACTGAGTTTCTTGAATTGATTGAAATGAAAGTGAAAGTGGATTATGCAAATTGATTGAAATGCTTGAATTGGTGCAAGCATTGAAACGAAGTTTGTAGTGTATAAAAGTTTTTTCTCGGCTGGTGAATCTTGAGAGAAAGTTGTGCTTTGTCTAAAATATTCAGCGCCACATCAAACAAGTAAAAATGATAACAGATAAGTAAGTTAGCATCTATGGAACTTTCCTTTAGTGTCAAAAATTGTAAAATAAGTTTTGATGTGGAATATACCAGTGCCATGTCTGCGCAAGTAGCTTTGTAAAGCATGTTGTTCTTCTTCGGTTTCAATGGCAGCCAAGTATGCGCCATGTTCCTGACATTTCAGCTCAGCATCCCACCAGCTCAGAGGACCAGGGTAGAAACAATACATGGAACCATTGTAGCTGTAGGGTGCATATAAGCCAATTTCACATGCTGAAACCAAAAAAACGCATTGTAGGAACAATAGATGGATCCATTGTAGCTGTGGGGTCAATATTAGCCCACGTCGCATACTAGAATAAAAAACACGCATTGTAGGAACAATAGATGGATCCATTGTAGCTGTGGGGTCCATATAAGCCAACGCTGCATGCTAGAATCAAACACATGCATTTTAAGAACAATGTATGGCGCTATTGTAGCTGTAGGGTCCATATTAGCCCACGTCGTATACTAGAACAAAAAACACACATTGTAGAAACACTAGATGGATCTATTGTAGCTGTAGGGTCCATATTAGCCCACGTCGCATACTAGAATAAAAAACACACATTGTAGAAACACTAGATGGATCCATTGTAGCTGTAGGGTCCATATTAGCCCACGTCGCATACTAGAATATTAAACACACATTGTAGAAACACTAGATGGATCCATTGTAGCTGTAGGGTCCATATTAGCCCACGTCGCATACTAGAATAAAAAACACACATTGTAGAAACACTAGATGGATCCATTGTAGCTGTAGGGTCCATATTAGCCCACGTCGCATACTAGAATAAAAAACACACATTGTAGAAACACTAGATGGATCCATTGTAGCTGTAGGGTCCATATTAGCCCACGTCGCATACTAGAATAAAAAACACACATTGTAGAAACACTAGATGGATCCATTGTAGCTGTAGGGTCCATATTAGCCCACGTCGCATACTAGAATAAAAAACACACATTGTAGAAACACTAGATGGATCCATTGTAGCTGCAGGGTCCATATTAGCCCACGTCGCATACTAGAATAAAAAACACACATTGTAGAAACACTAGACGGATCCATTGTAGCTGTAGGGTCCATATAAGCCCACGTCGCATACTAGAATAAAAAACACACATTGTAGAAACACTAGATTGATCCATTGTAGCTGTAGGGTCCATATTAGCCCACTGTGAATATAAACCCATGCCGCATGCTAGAATCAAACAAACGCATTATAGAAACAATAGGTGGAGCCATTGTAGCTGTAGGGTACATATAAGCCCACGCCGCATACTAGAATCAAAATCACGCATTGTAGAAACAACTGATTGGGCCATTGTAGCCGTAGGGTGCACATAAGCCCACCCGCATACTAGAATCAAAATCAGGCATTGTAGGAACAACTGATTGGGCCATTGTAGCTGTAGGGTGCACATAAGCCCACCCGCATACTAGAATCAAAAACACGCATTGTACGAACAACTGATGGAGCCATTGTAGCTGTAAGGTGCTTATAAGTCCACGCCGCATTCTAGAATAAAAAAAACGCATTGTAGGAACAACTGATGGAGCCATTGTAGCTGTTGGGTGCATATAAGCCCACGCCGCATGCTAGAATCAAAAACACGCATTGAAAGAACAACTGATGGAGCCATTGTAGCTGTAGGGTACATATAAGCCCACGCCACATGCTAGAATCAAAAACACGCATTGTAGGAACAACTGATAGAGCCATTGTAGCTGTAGGGTACTTATAAGCCCACGCCACATGCTAGAATCAAAAACACGCATTGTAGGAACAACTGATGGAGCCATTGTAGCTGTAGGGTGCATATAGGCCCACGCCGCATGCTAGAATCAAAAACACGCATTGTAGGAACAACTGATGGAGCCATTGTAGCTGTAGGGTGCATATAGGCCCACGCCGCATGCTAGAATCAAAAACACGCATTGTAGGAACAACTGATGGAGCCATTGTAGCTGTAGGGTGCATATAGGCCCACGCCGCATGCTAGAATCAAAAACACGCATTGTAGGAACAACTGATGGAGCCATTGTAGCTGTTGGGTGCATTAAACCACGCCGCATGCTGGAATCACAAACACGCATTGTAGGAACAACTGATGGAGCCATTGTAGCTGTTGAGTTCATGAAAGTCCACGCCGCATGTTAGAATCAAAACACGCATTGTAGAAACAATAGATGGATCCAGTGTGGCTGCAGGGTGCATTTAAGTCCATGCCACATGCTGAAACCATGTAAACACTCTGAAACATGCTGAAAACACATATTGTTAATACTCACCTCACGTTAAAAATAAGTGTGGGAAAAATATTCCCATGCGTTAATTTTATGTTTGATATTAATACATTTTAATACTTCAAATTCAGCTATGTTTTAATCAAGTGCCAGCGCCCCGCTGATTGAGTATTTTGTTCAAAAGTGTATACATTTTTGACCAGAATACTCAATCGGTCGGTCGCCGGCCGATGAATCGGAGCAAATGTGACCCAGGCATTAGTCTACCCTATTATCCAAAGATGTAGCCAAGAAAACCACACACAGTAGTTCCACTGTCACATTTGCTCCGATTTTCACTAAGGCGCCCGGGTGATTGAGTATTTTGTTCAAAATTGAATACAATATTGAACATAACACTCAATCGGCCGGGCGCCGGCCGATGGATCAGACCGAATGTGAACCTGGCGTAATATGCAAGTTTTTATAATTTAATGCACTAATATAAGAAGTAATTAAGTATCAACTCACGTTCCCTGACGTAATAATGGTCTGCATCATCCATATGGGATTTTTCACCTATAACCCATTCAAGCAAATCACATATGAACGTCGTTTCGGTCATTTGCTTTACGTTTGTATGTCCGCATCGCTTTGTATTTAGACAGGCAATGACACATTCCGAGTGCGAACTTCTTTCGAGAGTTCCCAGGTGACCTAAATTGTTATCGGATATAAAGACGGTCTTCTTTTCTCTGATGAAGGTCTTTCCATTGAAGGTCGTACTTCCCGTTAAGACAAAAAGTGCAAATGTAAGTAGTATCTTGTACGCCTTTATCAAATCACGTACCATCGCCATTATAATTCATACGCTATAATTGAACAGTTGCTCACCATCTGGTCGTGCTCAAATTCCAATAATCAGCTATACCTGTTGTAAAACCCTTTATATACAGGGTGTCAAATAAGTCCCCCCCCCCCTCTACAGCCAAAACCAAGATTTTTGGTACCAAGTGTAATATACCATTGGAAAGATCTTCCAAAGTTACGTTGATTGGCATATATCTGACACATGTCAATCAATCTCACAAATTTTCACAGTGTATCAATTGAGGAGACCATAGGCCTAGAAACATGGCAATTTGGCGTATTTGACAGGATTTTAAGAATCAGATATAAGAAAGGTCAAAGAACCAAAGGTTGATTAAACATGTATATGGCAATGAATTTAACCAATTTCTGGATAGGGTTAGATGTGTAGAAAATAGAGGTGCAAGGAAAGTGGTGAAAACCTTTTTGTAACAAGTGGAATGCGAAAAAGATTAACTTTTTGACGTATTACATATCCTTGTCATTTTGACGCAAAAAAACTGCTTAAAGGAGGGTACGTTAGCCATAAAGGACATCATAAAAATATAGGTAAATGTCATCCAAAATACTTGAAAGTTGGTGAGTTAACATAACTTTGGATGATCTTTCCAATGGTATATTACACTAGGTACCATCTATTAAGGTTTTAGCTAGTATGAGAGGCTACAAAATAAAGTCATAAATCAAATACGTTGACTACGAAGGGCGTGATATCATGGCAAAGCACAAAACCAATCTTGTAACCATGACAACTTGTATAGGAGTATATCATAAATTGCTTTAAAATGATATATTACACTATATATGTATGCCCTATATACTGTATATATTATCTCAGAGGTACCATATATGGCAATTTTCAAAATTTCTTCAGTATTTTAGTGCTTTTTGCCCAAGGATTGAATGAGTTAATTAAGCTTGGCATGTCTAACAAGTAGGATGAACGCTGGTCACTATTATAGGAGTTGATAACATTGCTCATTGTCATGAATACATGACGAATATCGTACAAATCAGTCCAATTAGTCCAATACCTTGGTCACATTTGCTCCGATTTTCACTGAGGCGCCCGGCCGATTGAGTTTTTTGTTCAAAATTGAACAAAGCACTCAATCGGTCGGGCGCCGACCGATGGATCGGGGCAAATGTGACCTAGGCATAATGTACAAAATGTTACAGAATATGGAAGATATTGTACGTATTGATCTAATTAAACACTGTACGAAAACGGTACTTGATCTTGTACAAATTTGTTTTTATTTAGAAATAAGTGGAGGGAAACCCCCAGAGATTAGGAGATGACACATAATTTCGTCTGAGTAAGCAATATAAAAGAACAAGTTTGTTCGAACTTTCACCGCCTAGTTTCCAAATACCACACACTGATGTAATGTTTTAATTGATGTTAGCAAATTCCTTCATCTTGATGTGAAAAACGAGCTATGATGTTTTTTATTATTATTAATGTTTTTATTATTCTTAAATCATAGTAATTTACAAAGTACAAGTAAGCAAAACCAATCGCCATTTGGCATTACAGGTCGCTTTAACATAAATTTAGTTTAGAAGCAAGTAATAATAAAACAAAAAAGTGCATAAAACTATTGAAAAGTTTTGTTGTTAATTGCTTAGTTGCTTAGCTATGATGTTGGCTAATATGCCAGATATTAACTTAATATTGTTTGAAGTGTTCACAAAATTTTGAACCCACCATTAAATGACGTCATTTGTCTATCGGTCTAACCAAACAGCGACGCTGTAATCTCAATACACATTTATATTAGAGACGTATGTGTCATCTCTGAACCCTTGGGTTTCCCTCTCTTATTTAAACATATAGAAAAGTGTTAAATAACACTTGGAATACAGACCAATAGGCCAGGATATAGCATGGGTTTTGGGAAGTTCAAGGGCCACTTGATAGACATAATGTTTCTGAAAGATGACTTCATTTAGCATCAATTCATATATGTCTGGGTCTTTTTAGTTTGTGGGCGAAGGATTCTGAGCAGTTTTACCCCCCTAGAATAATATTTCAGGGGGGTACTATATTATCATTCTATAGAATCAGTTATGCATTAACTATAGCACTGATCTATACATATTATGTTGCTAGCACTGTAGTCAAGTGTTTAACAAAGTTATAGGGAGATATATTGATCGGTTTTGACAAAAACACAATTTATAGTAATAAATAAGCATATTTTCATTCGTTTTTTAGTCTCGCCAACTTTATTGTTGCAGCTTCAGAGAAATAATTGGCACCAATACTGCTTTAAGAAGTAATCTAAAATTATTTCCAATCTATGTGGGGAATTGTAATATAAAGAATGTAATGATACAATACTATTTGGAATTTTAAATATGGCTTTGTTGACCCCTACCCCTTAGAAATATGAGAAAGTGAAGGTGGCACAATTAGATCAGAAATTCTATAAAGAGTACTAATACTTCTCCAAGTAGCATTTTAAAAATGTATGTGTGATATACAGGGTGTCCCGAAAGTATGGGCCCCCCCCCCCTAGGCAGACATATACCAGTGTTGTCATAGTATGTGTTATATATCATTTGAAGGCTTATCCAAAGTTACATTGATTCGCCAAGTATCATGGTTCAACTCTCAAATGTGAAAAAATTACAGGCATTTGAAAATTTAGTGTTTGGTCAAAATTAAGTTCAATTTTACACCAAATCACTAGTCAATGTATCCTCCCGGGCCATCTTAACAGCAGCAATTCTTTTCGGGTCGGATGGATATTGAGTTAGAAAAAGAGAACGGTGAGGGTAGAAACTCTAAGGAAACTCTTCTAAAGTCCCTTAACAGGTTTTAAGAGGGTTATAAAATCCCACACCCCTATTTGAAGGGCTTTTAAGGTCATATCTGAAAATAATTGCTGCTGTTAACATGGCCAAGGGGGGACACATTGACTAGTAATGTGGTGTAAAATTGAACTTTATTTTAACAAAACACTAACTTTTAAAATGACTGTAACTTTTTCCCATTCGGGAGTTGAACCATGATACTTGGCAAATCAATGTAACTTTGGATAAGCTTTAATATGATATATAACACATACTATGAGGACACTGGCATATGTCTGCCTAGGGGGGGCCCCATACTTTCGGGACACCCTGTATAGAGGTAATTTAATGGGAGGGATGGAATATGAATTTTATTCTGAGGGAAAATATGATATTGGCCAAGGAAAACATCATACTGACTGAGGGCAATAGCCCGAGTGTTAATATGATAGTTCTCGAGGCGAATAAAATAAATAAAATTCATATTCCACCAACACCATCAATAGCCTATTTATTAAATTGTTTTTTTTTTCTGAAACATAAAAATCAAGAGAAATCCCCGGGAATGGTTCTGATATAGGATCTGATATGTGATTTAGGCTGATACAAGATCCACCAGGGGGTGGTGTTGCACTTCATATTTTAAAAGGCATTGACTTTAAACATAGGGATGACCTCAAATTAGATTATAAAGCATGTGAATCACTATCTATTGAAATTCCTAGGAAAAATGAGAAAAATATGGTTATTACTATAATATATAGACCACCAAATACAGACATGGCATATTTTCTTGAAAGTTTTGAGAGCCTACTTTCTAAAATTGATAGGGAACATAAATTTTCTTTTATAATGGGTGATTTCAACATTGATTTACTTAAAACTGAAAGTGATGCACAAACGTTGAATTTTCTTAATCTATTATACTCCCAATCTTATAACCCATTGATTTTTAAACCTACTAGAATAACAGAAAAAAGTGCTACGCTTATTGATAATATCTTTTCTATTTCAAATAATGTAATCAAAAGTGGTCTTCTTTCATTTCCCATTTCTGACCACCATCCTATCTTTGCCCTTACATCACACTATCAAAATGTTTGTGAAAACAAACAAATCACTTTTAGGAAATATTCATTGAGTGCAATTAATAATTTTAGTGATTCACTGAAAGATATAGATTGGACAGGTATAATTAATGAAAAGGTTGATGTAAATGTGGCTTATAATTTGTTCGCAGACAAAATTAGTAGAAAATATGATGAATATTTCCCTGTAAAAGTCAAAAATACAAAAATTCACAAGAACTCAATTAAGCCTTGGCTCTCACATGGTATACTAACATCTGTGAAACAGAAAAATAAACTTTATCGAAATACTTTGAAACACCCAACGAAACAGAATCTAGCTGAATACAAAACTTTTCGAAACAAACTCCATAAATTAATCCGCAAAGCAGAAAGGAAATATTTTTGTGATAGATTTACTGAAACAAGCAATAATATCAAGAATACTTGGTCAGTTATAAATGACTTACTTCACCGCAAAAATGTGATTCAGTTTTTCCAGATAAATTTTATGATGGAGATGATACTTTGACTGATAGAAAAGATATTGCTAATCATTTTAACAGATTTTTTTCTAATGTTGGACCTAAATTAGCATCAAAGATAAGTTCAAAAACGTTCCCTTTTACATTTATGGAAATCAATGAATCTTCTTTAGAACTTACTCCTGTGAGTAAGGATGAAATCGAAAATTTAATGTCAGTTTTAAAAGATTGCTCACCAGGCCTAGATGAATTCAAACCAATAGTAGTTAAACATGCAAGAAATAATTTACTTTTACCATTAGTTCATATAGCAAACTTGTCTATCCATACAGGGGTTTTTCCCACTAAGTTGAAAACAGCCAAAGTTATCCCACTTTTTAAAAAAGGAAATACTTCAAAATTTTCAAACTATAGACCTATATCTCTACTTAGTGTCTTTTCTAAACTCTTAGAACAGATCATGAAAAATAGATTAATAACATTTATTGAAACA